CTCGAACCTTCGACCTCCCGCACAACAGTCAAGCGCACTATCCATTGGGCCAACTGGGCGGCTATACATTGAGTAGGATTATACTGACTGGCTAATCATCACAATATGTTTTAATACATTCTCACCGTTTGCAAATTTCATCTTGGTGGTGATTCGTTGCAGTTTTACGTTATTAGGAATATACATAACATGTGTAGAGGGCATATTTTATACGCTAATCGGTGCCGAAGCTCCCTTAATTAACGGACACTCGTAAGTGGACAGCTCTACTTACCCACCTAGTCAAAAGCCCGTTTTATTAGACTCCCATACAGACTCTGTAAGGTTCTGATATGATTGAAAATCATGTTTGTATGGTTTGGAGTTCACTGGAGGTACAATTGTAGGCGTAGAAAAGATGTCGGTCCATGAGTCACCGTTGTCATGCAATTTTGAGAGGTCCGCCATTGTCGAAGAAAAACATTAGTCATCTTTGTCGATCTGTACCAAAGGGAATGATAGATAAACAGAGATTAGAAAGTGTGGGGTGGGTGCCTCGAATATCTACGTAAACTCTGTATTTTAAGTATCGCTTTTATAAGGCACCATATAACTTAGGTTTGAATACTCTAGTTGATGAGCCAAATACTGAACTCGGTCATCGTCCTTTGGTACATTGTCAATTCGGACCATCCTTACTGAACTGAATTGGCGCTTTTTGAGCGTTGCATACGTAACCATCAATCGTCCAACAAAATTTTTTAGTTTATAATTTCAAACTTCATTTGTATCGTTGATCTTATCCATAGAATTCAAGCGGTTTTATCCATTTATTAATTTTTATATTGTGAATGTAAATTGTTTCGATAACAGCAGGTCCACATCAGCTATTTTAGCTGCCTTAATTCAACCTGCTATACCAAATAAAGTGTATGCACTGATGTATGTAGATATACCCGTGTACCTCCTATCATTCTTAGATGGCAATGGATCTCATTGTGTAACCTTGCTATACAGCGTTTAGGGAAAACATATCTTGGTTACATCCATGAAATAGTGAATATGTGCCACATAATTTCCAATTTCTGTTATGTATGATATCAAGTAAAATATATCAGTATACGTCCTTTGTGAGGCCATAACGAAATTGACACACCCGTAACGGAATTAGCACGTGCCGGAATTACTGAGGAAAAGTTATGCTTAGAAGTCTTAATGAGAGCACCAGAAGCAGAGTAATCATCATGTATGACATCGCTTGTCTATTAGTACACCATTTGAAGGTAAGTAAATTATTTGAACACGTATGTGCAGGAGGCGAAATGGTAATTCTAAAGTGGTATTTAATTTTGTAGAACTGTCGAAAGTATTTTCTATTAAATTTGG